TAGATTTTGACAACTATTTAGAGATTGGCTTTTAACATAATTGTACAGCACAATTGCTACTGTTAGAGATCTGAAAGCTTTGTTAAAAATGGCGTGGCCTAAGAGGATATTCTGTTCCTAAGAGGAAAAGCTGAATTGATTACCTTACTTAGTCTCAACTACAACAAACCCCTGACTGTCAGAAAACACAAAACTCAGGTAAGAAGTCATAGGCTGAGAGGTTATTCTCGAATGATAAAAGCTGAATTGATTGTTTTACTGAGTGATAATCAACCAGTTGTTGACAGAAAAACAGTTATCAACAATAGCCAACCTACAGAGTTAAGATTTGTTCCCACAGATCATGCTGTTGGTGAATATCTAAGAAGTTGGAAGATGGATAGTAATTCCAACATGGATGTTAATTATGTTAAACCCATTATAAAGGACAAAATAAATGAGGAGTTAGATGATTTGAAAAGTTTAATATCAGCTAACAGTTAAAATGTCATCAAGTAAAAATAACACAGATGATAGTGTTGAATATACTGAACCTTATTTCAGGAACAACCAAAAAGTATGTGATTTTCCTTTAATACAAAAAAAAATCCAATTAGATAAATGTTCACATAATTGTATATCAATTGACAATTACTGGCCAAATAAAGAACTGGATAAAGTTATTAAATAGGGAGAATGACCACAAGGAATATATGTTATAGATGTCAAGCCTTCCAAATACAGTTAGCAATTGTGACTTTACAGCTGTGAAAAAGAAAAACAGTATTCAGTCTGGTATCCTAGTAAAATGAACAAAGAACTCAGCAAAATGTTGAATATTACTACGTCCGAGTTAAAACAATAGAGAATATTTTCATTCAAACAATTTGGTTCAAAGGTTACTTAATTAATAAATTGTTTCCTCCATTAAGGATGGCATCTTGATAAATATTGATGACATACATGACAATCCAGTGATCACAAAATACTTGAGACATCAATTGAAGCATTGTCGGGAGCAGGACCTGGTCTCGGATGGGGTGTCACTGTGCCCCCATCGTCTATACTACTTTTTAGTCGCCTCAGTTACGAGCGTTTAAATTAGCTACCACTAACAATCATCAGAAATAAACTCACAATATATTCTGCCACATAACAATATCACATTCATAGTAATTCGGCCAGAAAAGCAGGGTTAGAAATCTGTGAGCACAGTTTAGAAGAATCATTGCTGGGATCATATATATTGAACAACAAAAGTTCCTGTGACATTGAATATGATTTAATGCAAAGTTATGTTTTTTACCAAATCTGAAACAATTTCGGTTTGCAACAGATAAAAGACTCCTGTAGGTGTTCAAATGGCTTTACTTGCCATACTGACTTCAGAAAATGCGTGATTTCATAAAAAAAACATGAACATGCCAAAATGTCAATTTACAAATCAGTAGCGTTTGTGTCCACCTCTGGTTGCGATGCAAGCAACACATCTTCGTCTCATGGAATGGACCAGGCGTTGCACAAAGTCCTGTGGGATATCTGTCAATATCTGCTGGAGCATGTTTCGGAGTTCCTGGAGTGTCTGTCTAACACGTGGTTGACGTCGAAGGCGCCGACCCATCTCTTCCCACATTTGTTCGATTGGTGAGAGATCAGGGGAACGAGCCGACCAGGGGACATTTACGTTGTTTTGTTGAAGAGAATCCTGAACAACTCGAGCAATATGAGGCCGGGCATTGTCATGTTGAAAGGTAATGCCTGGGCCATGACGACGCAAAAACGGTAGAACAACAGGGCCAAGGATCTCGTCGCGGATTGCGCTGTCCATTGAGATTTCCCTCTACCACTGTCAAACGGGTCCTCTGTCTTGCTGTAATCCCACCCCATACCATAACGCTGCCGCCCCCTAACCGATCCTCCTCCATGGCACAATGATTGAAATAACGTTCACCTCGACGTCGGTACACTCGAATCCGACCATCGCTGTGGCTGAGGTGAAAACGAGACACGTCAGTGAATAGCACCTGTGCCCACTGCATGGCCGTCCAGCGTAGACGCTGTCTGCACCACTGTAGACGTGCTTGACGGTGGTTTCCTGTCAAAATGGGACGAGTGGCAGGTCTTCTGGCGACAATCCCTGCACATCTGAGGCGGCGACGTACGGTTTGTGAAGATATTCGTCGAAGGTCAGGGATGCTTCTTGCAGTCACTGTTGCTGGCTGGAATTGATTTCGTAGGTGTGTTGTTCGAATCCAGTTGTCTTGTTGTTTATTGGTTACGCGTGGCCTGCCACTCCGAGGATGGTCTCTGACTGCATTCGTCTGTTGCCAACGTTGCCATAAACATCAAATGGTGTTTCTGTGTACGTGAAATTGTCTTGCAACATCACTTTGACTCGATCCTTCTTCAAGCATACCAATGGCTCCCAGACGCTCATTTTCGGACAGGCGTGGCATTTCGTAATGTTGAATAATTGCGTAATTTTGTTGTTTTTCTGAGTGTCAGCACGATGCTAAACAATGCACATGGAATCCCTTTAACGCACATGTTTTTATAACCATTCTTGGGTAGTGAAATGCATGGGGCTTGCATAAAAATCAACTTTTGCATGGAATGCATGCTTTTCTGTAGCATTTGCGTTTTTGTGACTTGATTCCATACATGTACTACAATATTGAAAACCAAACTTTACTTGTTTGAAAAATACGCTAAAATATTGGTGTCAGAGGAACTTTTGTTGTTGGGTATATGTACAAAATTTCAGTTTTATAAACCCAGACATTAGGGAGAAATGCAGTAATACCAGAAAAACGGAGATAAGTGAAGGTCAAATGGAGCTGGAAAATGAAAATAATGAGAAACAAAAATAATTGTAATTCTCTGAGCAGTGTTTAAAGACAAATTTTCTGTCATTATTCTGTAACAACTGCATGTTTTGAAGCAGTGACCAAAACAATACTTTGTCTCTAACATAAATACCTGGCCGCCATATTAAACAGTTGGTATCTCAATATGGGATTCTGCTCTAAAGTCACATTTACCTTGGGCATGTTGAGCTTGGTCATGCCTGTAGAATTACTGTGCAGATAACCATTGACATTTCCAATATTACAAGACACATGATGGACATCGTAAACCGGTGACAAACATCTTACGGTTTGCCAACACAGTTCAATACACATTTTCGGACCAAACGGACGTCGCACATCTCTATTGTTCTCTCCAGCATCAGATGGGTAAATGGAAACTTCCACAAGAGCGACAAGCCAGACATACGTTGCGATCATTCTGCTCCTGAGTTCAAGTAGCATCTGCCCATCCTCTAAATGTCTTTATTCAGACTTAGATTGACAAGCGCCTTCGCCATGTGACAATACATGAAGTTCTTTGATAAATGACTCTCCTTGTAAAGATGATTAATGCCCGTTGGACACACAAGATATTAGCAGGATAATTGGATCATGAATATTTAATTGCAATATAAAATGCCCCCGGGTTAGCATAGGTCTCATTAATTGGCTACTCGGCTAATTGGACTAACACGTATCGCATTTAGCCTGTCTTTAAAATACTATATTTGAATATGATACCACATGGGAATTCCTGGTTAGAAAAAATGCCCAACAAACTGTCTAAGAGGCGATGCATAATGTGATAATGTGATTTATTTGATTTATTTGATAAAGTGTCATCGTACTTAGAAATACATATATAACTGAAATACGCCCGATACAATGTTAAATAATAACTCACTCACTCGATACAATGTGACAGTTCAAGAAGAAACGTCCATTGTCTGTACCACAGAGACAAAGAAAGCATTCAATCATGTCTCTACTAATATCTCGACATCTCGCCTTGTCATTTACACGAGTAACAATACACGGAACATGGGACATATGATAGCTAGGATATTTGTCGGGAGTCGGCCAAGTTGTTTTTAGATGTAGACCGAACCCTAGAGATGATCATATCAAGTTTGGTCTTTCATGTGATTTATGAATCTATATTCACGTGCGGTTTCTATCCCAATAATAGTTTCCCTGATGATTGAACTTGTGTCGCGAGAGAAAACAGTATCAATTTAGCATCTCTTTCAAATACTGCAGATGAGTATGACACCCCTGTGGGAATTCCGGGTTACAACTAGTACCCAGCAAACTGTACTGAGAGTCGATACATCGGGTGGCTTGGTTGATTGCCTCTCATCATACCCGACGGCGTGGGTCGTTGCTCATAATATCAATCACTGGATTGTCTGGTCCAAACTCGATTACTTACATTGTTTGTTTGTTTTGTTGTTGTTGTTGTTTAACGCCACACTCAGCAATATTCCAGCTAAATAATCGAATCTGGACTAAACAATCCAGTGATTGATATCATGAGCATCGATCCACGCAGTTGGGATACGATGACATGCATCAACCAAGTCAGCGATCCTGACCACCCCATCTCGTTAGTCGTCTCTTAGTTGCTTTTTACGGCCAGCATGGGTTGCTGAAGACCTATTCTACCCCGGGTCTTCACGGGTCCGATTATTTACAGGTCTCGGTCATATGGCTCTACAAAGTGTTATAAGAAATATTCATAATTGGTTTCTAAGTTATGGTCATGAACAGGACCAAACCCTCATTTGAAGATTGGTCCTAACAACCTACATTTGCTATACGTCCCCGTGGTCCTAGGTATGGTGACATAACTACTGTTGCTGTCGATGTATTGTGATTGACATTATAAGCATGAGGATTCCGCGTAAGAATATTGTTTCCCAACAACCTATGTTGTTCGTAAGAGGCATTTAAATAGGTTGGGTGACTTGGTTGATTGCTTGTCATCGTATCCCATTTGCGTGGATCGATGCTCAAGATGTCAATCATTGGATTGTCTCATCCAGACTTGATTGTTTGCAGACCGCCGTCATATAGGGAGAATATTGCAGATTGCGGCGTAAAACAACACACATGCAAACACCTGATGAGCAACGTCCGATGACACTTTTACACAACTAAAGACATCACATAGACTGGCCATCAGGTCATTTAATCGTCTTCTACTACAGCAATATGTTGCTGGAGATCCGGCGTAAAGTGTTTCACAACAGTTCACCACGGATAATGTTTATTGATCACATTTCGAGAGACGACATCCTACGGGTGAAGTGACCTCTATCTACAGCCAGCTATCGTCTTCCAGCCACAAATGCATTTGCTGAAAATAAACAACTTCATGAGCCACTCGTCAAGATGACTTTAAATGTAATGAAATCGTATCTAGAAGTATATCTGATATATGTCTTAATAATGAAGACCGCCTCCGTGATCTTGTGGTAGAGCGTCCGCCCGGAGAGCGGAAGGTCCGGGGTTCGATCCCCGGCCGCGTCATACAAAAAGACGTTAAAAGATGGTACTTGTTGTTACCCTGTCTGGCGCTCGACATTAAGGTGCTAAAACAAGGACTGGTCGGCTCGGAGTCAGTATACTGTGTCTGAGTGGGGTATTATGTTAAACTGCGGCATGGTATCTCAGTGAGCTAGCACTATAAATCGGCATCAGTCCGGACTAGTACACGCAGCTACACACACACACATACACGTGCATGCACATCGCTATATAAGTGCAATAATCTTGGACGCAACGTAAAACCCAATTTCACCTCACCTCACCTTAATAATGAAATGGGTACCCGGTAGGATGGAACGGTTAAATGAATGCAAACGTTTTCCAAACGTTTTCCAGTAACATCACGGCGGGGGACACCAGAAATGTGCTTTACAAAATGTGCCCATATGGGGATTCGAACCCGGGTCCTCGGCGTGACGAGCCAACGCTTTTACCACAAGGCTACCCCAGTGAATGAGTGACGGGATGTTATTGTTTCACACCACAGTCACATATAATTCAGCTCTGTCACATCTACACCTCAACAGACGGCAAGAACAGAGCCTTGATTTGAACTAGAGGTTGAAAGCATGAACACGTGCAACGAGGTCAAACAGAGAATACTCACTGATATTTTGACAGGGGGTAAGGTTGCAGTGGTCGGTGTTGCAGCAGGCGTTACATAAGTGGTTGACGCCGGTGTCTCGTCCTGCCTGTTGGTTGTTTTTCATTGCAGAGCTCAAGGCGTCACAGACCTGTTGAACAACAAATAACACTCAAACCATCCATGAAGTTGGAGCAGGGGCAGATACCTCCTCTAGTGAGTGTCACTATTTTGGTCAGGTGGGGTTTGCTGATGAAGAATTGTAAACTATACCGTTTACAGAGGCGTGGAACTCTCGTGCGTCGTCAAACTTGTATACGAGCTACACAATCACTGGATTGTCTGGTCCAAAGTCGATTATTTACATTGTTTGTTTGTTTTGGTGTTGTTTAACGCCGCACTCAGCAATATTCAAGCTAAATGACGGCGGTTTGTAAATAATCGGATCTGGACCAGACAATCAAGTGATTGATATCATGAGCATCGATCCACGCAATTGGGATGCGATGACATGCACCCTATCCCGTTAGTCGCTGGTTGCTGAAGACCTATTTTATCCCTGGTCTTCACGGGTCCGATTATTTGCAGGTCTCGGTCATATGGCTATACCGTACAAAAAAACGTGCAATCTCCTTCGAATGCGAATGGTTGTGTGTGTGCGATCTGCAATGTATAGTTAATGGAATTTGAGTATTTGCCTGTGCACTGAGGAAAATAGAGCACTTGTGCCATTACTTACCGCGAGGGCAGAATACACCCATCTTTCGGGTATCGTCAATAATTGATAGTTATTCATAAACACATGTGCATGATGCAGTCCGGGACGAATTTCTTATCAATATGGGGGCGGTCGGGTAGCCTAGTGGTTAAAGCGTAAGCTCGCCACGCCGAAGACCCGGGTTCGATTCCCGACAAGGGTACAATGTGTGAAGCCCATTTCTGGTGTCCCCCGCCGTGATATTATTGGAATATTGCTAAAAGCGGCGCAAAAGCATACTCCCTCACTCTTATCAATATGGAAATGGTTTTGTTCCTTTTAATTATCGGGACACGAACGTACCTTCAGGGGAAAATGTCATAGTTCTATTTAACTCAAACTAGGCCTACGTCATGGGGAAGTCCATGTTCGATGGTTATGTTTAACCACTAGTAGGAGGGGCGAAAAACAGATTACACGGAACATTTCTCCGAAATATGAATGTACTATATTTGGACGTCATGCAATACTTGAGTCAAAGATGGCGCTCTAAAACACCAAAGCGTGGATTGTAAGAGGCTCGTGCGAATGACACAACCCGTAGACTGATATATGTTTTAAAATGGTAGAGTATTACAAGAGACTATTTTGTTTTGCCAACATCAAAATCATGAGCTTAAAGGGATGAGTAGGACAGTCAGATACTAGGGGTAAAAGCTAATGTTTCATTAGAGGTCACTGAACCAAATAATTATAGAATAGGTATTTCAGTTTTTATGCCTCCTCGTTTCTCATTTGATTGTTATGCATGTTACTCATATTTCACGGGCACGTTTAATTGTTATACACCGTTGTGTATTTCATTTACGGTCCTGCGCACGTTATTTACCCAAATGTTCCTGTATTTCATTATCTTTTTATTATATATTATTTGTGCAACATTCCTGCCTATACCAATCGAACAGCAAAACTTGGTACGTATTAAGTGGACATTTGAAACCTGTAATAATGTTGTGTGTGGTGGAGTAATGATCTTTATTCAGCTATCAATGAAGCAAACACTGCTAGGTCTCAGGGGTATGTTAATAATGACTTCTTCTAGCATGTATTGTGTACATGTATCAAAATTGATTTATCATCCAAAACTTGCTCCCACAGGAGATATCGCTTGGGTGAGATCAAGCGATATCTACACTGTAGATATCGCTGCAATGAAATTGCATCACAATGCTTTGCAAACAATTGTGACGTCATTGGTTACCATGACGTCACAATCATATGACATCACTAATGGCTCTGCTACTGAAGCTGTTAGCAGTACTTTTTACACTTAAGACACTGCTAATTACTGTCTACAAACTGAAAAGGTTTGAATAATGATGTTGGATGATAAATAAAATTTCACCATCGTGTCTTTTGATATCAAATATATCAACACTCGTTGATAAAAGTGGAAAAAATCCTCGGCAAGCCTCGGAGTTTTCCCACTTTTATCAACTCGTGTTGATATATTTGAGATCAAAAGACACGAGGGTGAGATTCTCTATATACACCATATATGCGGTACTTAGTTCAGTGGTCTCGGATCGGACCTTTCTACGCAGATGTCAGAACATAAATATTGGGTCATCCATACACTTAATAATCAGAGTTAGGTCATACACTCTGGGACATTCATGTTTTTGTTTGTTTGTTGTTTGTTGCTTAGCACCGCACTCAGCAACGTTCCAGCTGTAGGCGGCGGTGTGTAAATAATTGAGTCTGGAGTAAATGTCCTTTGTGAATCAGATATAAACAACTAGATCATTGTTGTTACACAGTTGTAAATCAAGAAATGTCCTCAGTCCTTCAACATGGCCTTTATGGCGTCGACACTTACCACTTTTCGCTGACACCCAAGGTTTATACGGAATTCGCCATTATCGTTCAAGTACTCCTCACTAAAACAGACCTGAAAATGAACACATCTTCATGTAATTTACATTCATTGGCGTTCAAAGCAATTGCTGTTTGTTATAAATGAGAGTAAATGATTTTACGAAATGGTCACACACATCACGGGCGTTCTGAGCTTTCCGTCCGAAAATCATTCATCATTTTAAAAAAAATAATGACGGCCAAATGTTGGAGTATGCGTTGATATAAACGCCACTTTGCACACTATTCGAGTTAAATCTCGGGATCAATGTTTAAGGGATGCGGCGCCAGTAACCCTCCATTTGTCTTTTTCCGTTCAGTATCTTCAGAACACAAAATTCGATTCGCATGCTTCAATTCACATAAGGAAGAGAGTATATGGATGTCAACTTCTTTATTATGAGGAACACAACGTCTCGGAGTATATACTTACTCATTCATCAGGTGAATTACCCCGGCCTCCCGTTTGTCCAGTGTCCATTACCTATTACTTATCTATGATACTGGCTTCCATACCTTCAGTACCTTTGAGTGGCGGTCGGGTAGCCTAGTGGTTAAAGCGTTCGCTCGTCACGCTGAAGACCCGGGTTCGATTCCCGACGTGGGTACAATGTGTGAAGCCCATTTCTGGTGTCCCCCCGCCGTGATATTGCTGGAATATTGCTAAAAGCGGCGTAAAACCACACTCACTCACTCACTCAGTACCTTCGAATTCAGTACCTTTCTACCCTTTATTTATTTTCCACCTTTTGTAACTTCTTATTTTGTTGTCATTACATGTACATATATATTCTCTCTGCCTCATGGCATTCATTCACCTGATGAAGTAGTAAGCACATACTCCGAAAGGTTATGTTTCTCATAATAAAGAAGTTTTTGTTACTACATTACGAATGTACGAGACAGAAATTAGATATTTTTGGCGATCTTCACTGAATATGTTTGCGTCAAAGGTCTTCATGACGCCATTGCTTAACTGTATCCTAGCACCCATAAGGTCACTTTTCACCCTGTGGGTCACATATTTGCACCATACCTGGTCAGGTTCACAGGTTTGCAGGAACTCACACTGTGTGGTTTTCGTCAAGTCATTACACTTGTAGCACTGTTTTTGTGTTGAAGGCGGGGGAGTAGCTGAAACATGATAAATACTCACTGAAAAGAGTAAGGGAACCACTTACGTCAATACGTTGCCCGAATGTTTGCCTGGGCCCCGTGCCTCAAAGCGATCTTAGCGCTAAGTCGATCGTAACTCCCATTCTTTATCACTGACTTACGACAATCATAGCGCTAAGATCGCTTTGTGGAACGGGGCCCTGATCAGTAAGTGTAAATTCCGACCAGGGCCCCGTTCCACAAAGCGATCTTAGTGCTAAGTCCATCGTAACTCCCATTCTTTAACACTGACTTACGACAATCATAGCGCTAAGATCGCTTTGTGGAACGGGGCTCTGATCAGTAAGTGTAAATTCCGACCAGGGCCCCGTTCCACAAAGCGATCTTAGCGCTACGACTGTAGTAAGTCAGTGTTAAAGAATGGGAGTTACGATCGACTTAGCGCTAAGATCACTTTGTACAACGGCACCCTGATCAGTAAGTGAAATTTCCGACCAGGGCACCGTTCCACAAAGCGATCTTAATGCTAAGTTGGTCGTAACTCCCATACTTTATCATAGGCTTACGACCAACGTAGCACTAAGATCGCTCTGTGGAACGAGACCCTGGACACCTCGACACATAGACCTGATCGTCCCATGACATTAATTGCACTAGGCAAAAGATCAAACTACTTTTATAACCAACAGATAATTCCGTACAAAAACATTAAGGCGATTGTCAACATCTACTGCTACAAACCGGTTATATCCAGGGCCCCGTTCCTCCAAGCGATCTTACCACTAAGGTGATCGTAAGTCCCATACTTTAACATAGGCTTACGATCATCGCCGCGCTAAGATCGCTTTGAGGAACGAGGCCCTGCTAACTTAAAAGCAAGGCGTCCTGTGAAGGATGTGACCCGAACTGTTTACCACAGGCGGCCGAGATTGGAGTGGGTTAGTTAACACCGTGGACAGGATGTGCGCCAGTGGTGTTACATCCTGTTTGCAGACGAAACAATGTTTTGCCTTCTTTTCACAGACAGCAAACAAATCTTGACCATGATCGGTATGGGCGCGGTAGTGTCATGGTGTGGGTCGGTATGGTCATGGTGTGGGTCGGTAGTGTCATGGTGTGGCGCGGTAGTGTCATGGTGTGGGTCGGTAGTGTCATGGGATGGCGCGGTAGTGTCATGGTGTGGGGCGGTAGCGTCATGGTGTTTGGCGGTAGTGTCATGGTGTGGGGCGGTAGTGTCATGGTGTTGGGCGGTAGTGTCATGGTATGGGGCGGTAGTGTCATGGTGTGGCTCAGTAGTGTCATGGTTTAGGGCGGTAGTGTCATGGTGTGGGGCGGTTGTGTCATGGTGTGGGGCGGTAGTGTCATGTGTGGGGCGGTAGTGTCATGGTGTTGGGCGGTAGTGTCATGGTGTGGGGCGGTAGTGTCATGGTTTTGGGCGGTAGTGTCATGGTGTGGGGCGGTAGTGTCATGGTGTGGGGCGGTAGTGTCATGATGTGGCGTGGTAGTGTCATGGTATGGGCGCGGTAGTGTCATGGTGTTGGGCGGTAGTGTCATGGTGTTGGGCGGTAGTGTCATGGTGTTGGGCGGTAGTGTCATGGTGTTGGGCGGTAGAGTCATGGTGTGGCGCGGTAGTGTCATGGTGTTGGGCGGTAGTGTCATGGTGTTGGGCGGTAGTGTCATGGTGTGGGGCGGTAGTGTCATGGTGTGGGGCGGTAGTGTCATGGTGTCGGGCGGTAGTGTCATGGTATTGGGCGGTAGTGTCATGGTGTCGGGCGGTAGTGTCATGGTGTGGCGCAGTAGTGTCATGGTGTGGGGCGGTAGTGTCATGGTGTAGGGCGGTAGTGTCATGGTGTGGGGCGGTAGTGTCATGGTGTGGGGCGGTAGTGTCATGGTGTGGCGTGGAAGTGTCATGGTAAGGGCGCGGTAGTGTCATGGTGTTGGGCGGTTGTGTCATGGTGTGGGGCGGTAGTGTCATGTGTGGGGCGGTAGTGTCATGGTGTTGGGCGGTAGTGTCATGGTGTTGGGCGGTAGTGTCATGGTGTGGGGCGGTAGTATCATGGTTTTGGGCGGTAGTGGCATGGTGTGGGGCGGTAGTGTCATGGTGTGGGGCGGTAGTGTCATGGTGTGGCGCAGTAGTGTCATGGTATGGGCGCGGTAGTGTCATGGTGTGGGGCGGTTGTGTCATGGTGTGGGGCGGTAGTGTCATGGTGTTGGGCGGTAGTGTCATGGTGTTGGGCGGTAGTGTCATGGTGTGGCGCGGGAGTGTCATGGTGTGGGGCGGTAGTGTCATGGTGTGGGGCGGTAGTGTCATGGTGTGGGGCGGTAGTGTCATGGTGTTGGGCGGTAGTGTCATGGTGTGGGGCGGTAGTGTCATGGTGTTTGGCGGTAGTGTCATGGTGTGGCGCGGGAGTGTCATGGTGTGGGGCGGTAGTGTCATGGTGTGGGGCGGTAGTGTCATGGTGTGGGGCGGTAGTGTCATGGTGTGGCGCGGGAGTGTCATGGTGTGGGGCGGTAGTGTCATGGTGTGGGGCGGTTGTGTCATGGTGTGGGGCGGTAGTGTCATGGTGTTGGGCGGTAGTGTCATGGTGTTTGGCGGTAGAGTCATGGTGTGGCGCGGGAGTGTCATGGTGTGGGGCGGTAGTGTCATGGTGTGGGGCGGTAGTGTCATGTTGTGGGGCGGTAGTGTCATGGTATGGGCGCGGTAGTGTCATGGTGTGGGGCGGTAGTGTCATGGTGTGGGGCCGATCACACACGACAGGCCAACGTATTTGGTGACTATGAATGGACACAGCTGGTGGTAAGTTGACATTATGCGTCCTGTTGTTTGTCCCTGCTCTAGAATGATCGGCAGAATTGTTGAACGTTGTCAAAGATGACAATGCCAGACCTCGCTGTGACCAGATCGTTGCCGACAATCTCCCACAAGGCATTCGTTTTACAAATGGCCTACCCTTACGAAATAAACCGAAGTGAATTGCATGCGGAAATTGGACTGGTCCGCTAAATCCCCTGACCTGTCCCCAATAGAGCATCTATGGGATGCTCCCGGGCAGAGAGTCTACGCCAGAGACCAAGCACCCGCCAACGTGGCCCAGCTTGGGGTAGCTCTTCAGGCGGAATGACGGGCAATACCAAGGGCAACCATACGCAAGTTAATACAATATTCCTCCAAGGTGTCGTGCATGTATCGCCTTACATGATTCACTCACAAGATATTGATCTACACGCCCGAAAATTATTTTCGGACATTGATCACTACACCTTCACATTTGTTTCATCAGGTCCCTTGTTTTGTGCCGCATATATATATCTGCAATCTACAGTCTGCAAAAGTCTCTGCCGTGTCCTTTATTTCCCCTATAAAGTCACTGATTAATATTCGGTGGGGTGGGCAAGTGGGTAAAGCGTTCTCTCGTCACGCCGAAGACCAGGGTTTAATTTCCCACGGCAGTAAAATGTATGAAGCCCCTTCTTGTTCAGGCTGGAACATTGCTAAAAGCGGCGTAAAACTGTAAAATCACTGAGTTGTACCTCATCGTCGATACGTCACTGGTTTGTATACACTAGGTTCATCCATTACCCGTAAATACATACGGACACATCCCGGAGCAGGCAACCTTCATGATAATTATACAAGCGAAAATCTCATGGGAATCATGGGAAATCTCTGCTAAAAACAGGGTCGATTGTACGATTACGCCTATATAAAAAAACATCTGTTTAGGAATCACTTTTGTTAAATATTAGTGATAGCACGTGATGTTTGCGAAACGGTGAGCGTGTCCTGTCACAAACACATGCAAAGGCAAGTCAAGTGTGCACCTGTAAAAAAGGTCAAAATAGGAAATTTCATCGGATATCACTTTTGTTACTGATGCGTCAAATTTGGAAATGTCCTCCACATATCTATCATAAAACATTTGAAAAGTTGGCTTTGAATGTTGTAACCCTGATCAAAGTTTAAGCAACAGTCGTATGACGCACTTTGATATCTTCGTAGAAGAAGGAGCAACGAATTAAGACACGACAGAGTGAGAGTGAGACACGCCAGTGCTCGGACCAAGGAGAGTACAGATTATATCGGCAATATTTCTCGTGCAACACCTTGCACTCACTCCTTTACGAGGGGCGGTCGGGCAGCCTTGTGGTTAAAGCGTTCGCTCGTCACGCCGAAGACCCGGGTTCGAATCCCGACATGGGTACAATGTGTGGAGCCCATTTCTGGTGTCCCCTGCCGTGATATTGCTGGAATATTGCTAAAAGGCAGCGTAAAACCAAACTCACTCACTCACTCCTGCACGCATTGTTTCAATGTCAGCCAGCGGTAGGGTTCGCATAAAGCTCATGCAGGGAGTTGGGCTCATTTGAATGAGTTACACACGGCCTCACTTCATTAACTGACTAAAAATAAACATACGTCACTATTCACCGCAAAACAGACTTGTGTATTCACGTGTGACGCAAGAACGTCTCCCTTTGCCTCGAAAATGATCATTTATAAATACTGCTCCTTTGGACGTTTAACCCACTTTCAGAACTTTATCTTTTGATAACACCTACAGTAAACTGCGGTTATAACGAACTCAAAGGGACCACAAGTTTTAGTTCGTTATAACCGTAGTTCATTATAAGCATATATACAGCATATATACAGCAAATGGCCGGGACCCCAAAAACTGTTCGTTATAAGCGTGTTCGTTATAAGGTGAGGTGAAATTGGCTCAGACACAGTATACTGACTCCGAGCCGACCAGTCCTTGTTTTAGCCCCTTAATGCCGAGCGCCAGACAGGGTAACAACAAGTACAATCTTTTAACGTCTTTTTGTATGACGCGGCCCGGGATCGAACCCTGGACCTTCCGCTCTCCGGGCGGACGCTCTACCACAAGACCACGGAGGCGGTCGTGTTCGTTATAAACGCAGTTTACTGTACTACCAAATACTCAAGTTGCCCCCCGTTTCAGGTTTGTTCCTTCCTTTCTGACCCTCTTCTTATTCAAGAAGATAAAGGGCGGTGGGGGTAGCCTCGTGGTTAAAGCGTACGCTCGTAACACCGAAGGCCCGCGTTCGATGCCCAATATAGGTTACAATGTGTGGAGCCCATTTTTGGTGTCCCCCGCCGTGATATATTGGAATATTGCTGAACGCGGCGTAAATTTAAACTCACTCACTCAATGAAGATTATGACATGTAAGTGTGAGTGAGTGAGTGAGTATGGTTTTACGCCGCTTTTAGCAATATTCCAGCAATATCACGACGGGGGACACCAGAAATGGGCTTCAAACATTGTACCCATGTCGGGAATCGAACCCGGGTCTTCGGCGTGACGAGCGAACGCTTTAACCACTAGGCTACCCGACCGCCCCATGACATGTAAGTAATACTCGCGATGAAGTGTTAGATGGACGGTTAGAAGCAGTGGCAACCCAGCACAATGTGTGGCTCACCATCAGCACAGAGGTCCTTGTTGCAGTAGTCGGCATCACAACACTTGGTACAGAGGTGGATCAGGCGCCGTTTGTCTCGGGTTATCTCTCTTGGGAGAGCGCGTTTTCCGAATTGATTCAGAATTTGGCACACCTTTGAAAGAAAAACAGCTCGTAAACAATAATAAAAAATATTCCCAGATCCCACCAGACAAGTTGCGCGAAGTATGTGCATATCTGACAAGATGGGGACTTTGTAACGGCTGACGTGATGGAATAGTGCTCGCTGCGGCGTAAACAACATTCATTCACTCACTAATGCTGTTTCACTTTACCATCGTATTCTACATCACACACATGGAAACTTCAGTTGAATACAAGAACATCTTCATTTCACTATCTGTAAGGGGCGGTCGGGTAGCCAAGTGGTTAAAGCGTTCGCTCGTCACGCCGAAGACCTGGGTTCGATTCCCGACATGGGTACAATGTGTGAAGCCCATTTCTGGTGTCCCCCGCCGTGATATTGCTGGAATAATGCTAAAAGCGGCGTAAAACCATACTCACTCACTCACTCACTCACTATCTGTAACCCGTCACCCGTGAAGATCCGGGGTAGAATAGGTCTTCAGCAACTAATTCTTGCCGTGAAAGGCGTCTATGCTTGTCGTAAGAGGCGACTAGCTGGATCGGGTGTTCAGGCTCGCTGGCTTGGTTGATGCATGTCATCGTATACAAATTGCGTGGATCAATGCGCATGATGCCAGTCACTGGATTGTCTGGTCCAGACTCCATTATTTACAGATTGCCGTCATATAGGTGGAACATTGCTGAGTGCGGCGTTAAACAACAAGCAAACAAACAAAGACGGGCCCAGTGGCAGAACTGTTGGTAAAGCATAAACGTAGGCCATGGACTAATACTTGTTCGTTATTTGGTAAGACAAATCTATGTACAGGCGTGGTGCAATTATATGCACAGCTACAAATACATGTTAAACAGCAGTACCGAGCCGAATGGAAAATGAAAAGTTCACTTTGTACACGAATATGGTGTCATGGGCCTCAAGTACTGTTCTGTGTTAGACCGACACAGGTCCCGTGACAGGGGTCGTGGTTCTTAAACACACATCGGGGTCGCACAATGGACTCCTTCGATATTTCTTATGATTAGAGAAGGGGCGGTCGGGTAGCCTAGTGGTTAAAGCGTTCGCTCGTCACGCCGAAGACCCGGGTTCGATTCCCGACATGGGCACAATGTGTGAAGCCCATTTCTGGTGTCCCCCGCCGTGATATTGCTGGAATATTGCTAAAAGCGGCGTAAAACCATACTCACTCACTCACTATGATTAGAGAAAGGGTGAACTGTCTACTTTCCGCTAACAACTCAAAACCTATTTTAGACTTACCGTCACCAAATTGCTTCTTATTGTTCGCGCTTTGAGCATGAACTATACCTGGATATATGCCCCATACAGATGGACATCATAATAATAATAATAATAATAATAAATATAGCTGCGGGCAGCGATGCGGGCTCTATGATTTCTAGAAGCACTGAGTCATTCAGTTTCAGCCTACTGGAATCCACTTTATAATACAGTGCATAACAGTATTGTATAATGTAATTAATAATTTGATATTTCACGGACTTCTTCTTTGATAAGCATTTAGAAGTTGGAGTACTAAGTACTGATAAGAATTTATGGATGAACAACTTCTTTATTACAATTAAGAGTGACGTTTCGGTGTAGGTTCTATCACCGTTATCAAGCAAGTGATATACAGAGTGTGGTTGACAAGTATCTATGCAAGTAGGAGGTAATGTTTATGCAGTAGAGTAAATGTTGTTATACTGCAGTAGAGAAGCCTGTTATGTACACACAAGGGTAGTGATGACAATCGTCGATGAAGTCAGTGGCAGAAAGAAAGGATGAAGCCAGTAATATAAACAACGGGATTATGGCTGATTGGGGTCTTTGATGAGTTGATGGTACGCCGGGGGTATGAAAATCAAAATCAAATATGGCCGCAACTAATAACTATCCCATCAAATATATCAATGTTTGATATTGTATGTACGGAGACAAATCTCAAAAAGTTTGGTAGCATTTCATGTGGTGGATTCAGAGTCGTATGCTTTTGAAGACCTGTGTACCCAAAACACACTGTGAAAACCCTAAATCCAAAATGGCTGCCAAACCACGTGGCCAATGGCCAAAGTTAAAGAAGAAAAGATGTCAAGCATCTAAAGCAGCAGGCACATGTAGAGTGTGAAAATAATCGGAGTAGCGGTTTCAGAGCAACGTGGCAAAATACATCTCATGCCAATAGTGAGTGAGCGAGTGAGTATGGTTTTACGCCACTTTCAGCAATATTCCAGCAATATCACGACGGGGGACACTAGAAATGGGCTTCACACATTGTACCCATGTCAGGAATCGAACCCGGGTTTTCGGCGTGAAGAGCGAACGCTTTAACCACTAGGCTACCCGACCGCCCCTCATACAAATAAATCATTTAGTTCCAGTCAATTTGAATCCACTTTATAAATGCATTGCACATGAGTATGCTATAGTGTAATTTATTACTTCATATGTCATTAGACCACCTCCATGGTCTAGTGGTAGAGCTTCCGCCCGGAGAGCGGAAGGTCCGGAGTTCGATCCTCGACAAAAAGACGTTAAAAGATGGTACTTGTTGTTACCCTGTCTGGCGCTCGGCATTAAGGGGCTAAAACAAGGACTGGTCGGCTCGGAGTCAGTATACTGTGTCTGAGTGGGGTATTCATGTTAAACTGCGGCAAGGTATCTCAGTGAGCTAGCACTATAAATCGGCATCAGTCCGGACTAGTACAAGCAGCCCCACACACGTACATGCACGTCGCTATATAAGTGCAATAATCTTGGACGCGACGTTAAACCCTATTTCACCTCACCTCATATGTCATTAGTCCGTTTTGCCAAAATTGGCGGGAGCCAGAGCTTTCTTGGTTGTTCTCTACCCATTCCAGTCCTTGTTCATATTCGAATCCTAAAATGGATTCTTTGTACCAATGCCGTCAAATAAAGACGCCGCTACGTAATTGACGTGTACAAGGGTGTCCCAGGTCATAGAGCCCTAATAATAAATCGAACGATTCTAATAGGACAATATGATTGTGATCCCACTCTACATACACACACGCGAAATTTGGTCGAAATCGGACCAGTAGTTTCCGAGTTACAAGTGTTTGAAGGTCTGCTATTCAGAGGTCTGCTGTACCGCAGCTTGTGGCAGGGTGACAGGCAGGGTGGCAGACCGGGTGGCAGGGGGTCAAATAGTCCGGGAGCATAGCTCCCTTGTCCATTGAGCTACAGTCAAACGAATTAGTGTTCTGACTTGGCCAGGACCCCGGGTTTCTGTCGCATTGCTTAGATAAAGTGCTGAACCTGTTTCAGACCTCGTCCATGTTCGAATCCCCAATTGGTTTGGTTGTACCGATGCCGTCCAAAGTAAGGAAACGCTTGCAAGACATAGCCTCTACGACATTGATGTGTCCCAGAACGTCCTGGGATGTCCTGAACCCATTCTACACGCCGTCCATGTTTGAATCTGCATATGGTTTGCATGTACCAACGCCTTCAAAAGTAAGGAAACGCTTGCGAGACACTGCCTCTACGACAGTGATGTGTCCCAGAACGTTCCGGGATGTTCTACACCAATTTCTGACGCCGTCCATGTTCGAAGACACTGTGAAAACCCTGAATCCAAAATGGCTGCCAAACCACGTGGCCAGTGGCCAAAGTTAAAGAACAAAAGATGTCAAGCATCTAAAGCAGCAGGCACACGTAGAGTGTGAAAGTAATCGGAGTAACGGTTTCAGAGCAGCGGGACAAAATACATCTCACGCCACTAGTAAGTGAGTGAGTATGGGTTGTACGCCGCTTTTAGCAATATTCCAGCAATATCACGGCGGTGAACCTGAAATTGGTTTCACACATTGTACCCATGTCAGGAATTGACAGGTTTTCGGCGTGACGAGCGAACGCTTTAACCACAAGGCTACCCGACCGCCCCTCATACCAATAAATCATTTAGTTCCAGTCAATTTGAATCCACTTTATAAATGCAGTGCACATGAGTATGTTATAGTGTAATTTATTACTTCATATGTCATCAGTCCGTTTTGACAAAATTGGCGGGAGCCAGAGCATTCTTGGTTGATCTGAACCCATTCCAGTTCTTGTTCATATTTGAATCCTCAAATGGATTCTTTGTACCAATGCCATCAAATATAGACGCCGCTACGTAATTGACGTGTACAAGGGTGTCCCGGGGCATAGAGCCCTTATAATAATTCAAACAATTATAATAGGACAATATGATTACCATCATAATCTTGACGATCCCACTCTTCATACACACACGAAATTTGGTCGAAATCGGACCAGTAGTTTCCGAGTAACAAGTGTTCGAAGGTCTGCTAATCAGAGGTCTGCTGTACGGCAGCTTGTGGCAGGGTGACAGGCAGGGTGGCAGGCCGGGTGGTAGGGGGTCAACTAGTCCGGGAGCGTAGCTCCCTTGTCCATTGAGCTACAGTCAAACGGATGAGTGTTCTGACTTGGCCAGGACCCCGGGTTTCTGTCGCATAGCATAGATAAAGTACTGACACTGTTTCCGATCTCGTCCATGTTCGAATCCCCAATTGGTTTGGTTGTACCGATGCCGTCTAAAGTAAGGAAACGCTTGTGAGACATCGCCTCTACGACATTGATGTGTCCCAGAACGTCCTGGGATGTCCTGAAACCATTCTACACGCCGTCCATGTTTGAATCTGCATATGGTTTGCATGTACCAACGCCTTCAAAAGTAAGGAAACGCTTGCGAGACATTGCCTCTACGACAGTGATGTGTCCCAGAACGTCCCGGGATGTTCTACACCAATTTCTGACACCGTCCATGTTCGAAGACACTGTGAAAACCCTGAATCCAAAATGGCTGCCAAACCACGTGGCCAGTGGCCAAAGTTAAAGAACAAAAGATGTCAAGTATCTAAAGCAGCAGGCACACGTAGAGTGTGAAAGTATTCGGAGTAACGGTTTCAGAGCAGCGGGACAAAATACATCTCACGCCACTAGTAAGTGAGTGAGTATGGTTTTACGCCGCTTTTAGCAAT